ACGGCTGCAGAGCAAATGTGGTGTGCAGCGATTTACTGAGTTTAATGGCTGATGTATGGACAGAGAGGAGGGAATGAGTCAGAGACAAAAAGCAGCCAGAGCTCACCGCTGATGGAGCAGCAAAACACTTAAATGAGGGAGTCAGAAAATAATGAAGAGACTGTGGAGGAGCTGAAAGAGTTTCAGGAACTGAGGATTTTCTCTTATTCATAGCCAGCGTGTTCTCTCTCGAGCACACACCGAGAGTTCAAGAAAGGGTACGGCTGTCTGAATTCAGCAGATGGGGAAGAAAAAAAAAAAAGACAAATACTTTAAGAGTTTTTAGGTATCTGTTCTGTGCTCAAGTATTTATATTCCTAACAGTTTCGACCCCAATTTAAGAGGAAATATCTGCGCTTCCCGCCTCCTCAATTTTAAAAATGTACTTTTATGCGTTAAAGGTCATCCTCTAGTTTTTCATATTTCGCGTCATGATGAACTATCTTAGAAAATCCAGGTAGTTTCGGTCTAATTGGAGGAACAATTTCATGTAGAAAAGGAAGATTATCCTGCAGACATAACATGACAAACAGACCTTTAAAGGTGAAGAACTTTAACTGAAACTAGAAAACTTTGCAGACTGAGATCAAGACTCTTATAAGTCCAAATGTTTTTTGCATTGGTGTAAATACATCAGAAAGTTCATTAAGTGCAGTAATAATGGGCAGAAATCTTCTTCACCTTAAACTTCAGGTATGAGTGTGTTTACTGTAACCAGTCTTGCATCTTCAACATCTATACATCCTTCTACTTGAGCCGTGAGTGTGTGCGCCTTTGTCACCTCCTGGTCTTTGTAGATGAAAACACATGTATTCATCACATAAACACACACAAAGCTGCTTTAAAGCTTTTACCTTCATGCCTTTAAGTAAACGCCGCAAAGAAAACTCGCCGTTAAGATGCTTTTCACCTCTGATATTTGTTTTCTCAACATGTCTGAAGAATTCAGGCTGAGTGCGGCTCGAGCGGTTTGAACCCGGTAACCTCTCCTCACGAACAAAACCACGACACAGCAGAAGAGCTACTTCACATAGCTCGGCTTCGATGCTAATAACTTGGCTTTGCTCACATCCAGCTGTGATTCAGAACGACTCCAGGACACACGAGGCTGACCTCGGGATAAACAATCAGCTCCTCGGCGGCGTCTGTTTAAGCGGATATGTTTAACTAGACTCACTCCTGAGGAGCGCTGGCTAAAAATAAAACCGCAGCAATTATGAGGCGATGAAATGTCAGGATCGGTTTGTTACAAAGGCGTCCGATGGTGACAAAGTCAGGCTGTCGAAGAGAGACGGCACCTGATGATAACAATCTCTGACAACACGGTGCATGACACAACGACCACTCTCCAACTCAGTCCTACTCTGAGCTGTATGTGACCTTATTCTGCACATTTCCTCTTCTGTAATACTTGTGATTCTGCAAGAGTGCATGTCTGAAGTATGGCCCAGCGAGAGGAGTGCATGAAGAACAACTCAGAGTGAATAACAGGCGACAGAAAAGGACGGATAACATTTCCATCTCTGTTGAAGGCATGGTGGACGATATGAGGAGCAGTTGAAAAAAACTGGCAGATTTGAAAAAAGTGTCCTGCCCCAGCAAACCTCCACGTTTATTTCCCCCCGGACCTGTATCGCCCTCCCCACGACACACCCCCTCTGGCAGAGAAAGAAGTCGGCCGGCAGAAGATCCTACGCTGGCTTCAAATAGGATTCACCATATCAGATTGTTAGTGACTGGCAGCAGTAAACGCCAACTCTGTTAGCGAGCGCCGCCTGCAGCTGCCTGGACAGCTACCGTGTTGACATGTCAGAGACTAATAAGAGTTATTTATGTAACATGAGCCACGATAAAAGGAGATAAAAATGACCTGTTCAACTAAAACTCTGCTGTCTCGGCGTCTGTTTTCAGGACCAAATCCTGGCGGAGCTTTCTCCAGCACTCAGAGGAGGACCCGATGTTTATTAGATTCCTCACTTGGTCACATTTCCTCTTTGTCTCCGCCCTTTCTTCTGTCGGCTTGTGTTTTCTTCCCACTTTTGGCGGTGGGGCGAACATAAGTGTGTTTTTTTGCGTCCTTCTCCATCACAGCTAAGCTGCTACGCTACATTTAGCCGCTCAGAGCTCGGAGTAGAGCCGAGAGAGTGGGAGGGGACTAGTCAGAACTACAGGAGAGGGGTGTGCCGAATACAGCAAGGTGATTGGATGGAAAGGCGGAGCAGGAGATTGACCAATAGGAGCTGTCCGAGACGGATGGCTCCCATTCCATTCTTTTTTCTTTTCACTTTGTGGAAATCGCAGTATAGGACCATGATCGCCATAGAAACGAGGTTCATAATAATCACCAATCTCTCTAATTGTCAATCACGCCTTGAAAACACACTAATACTTGTCCTCCAGGTATGTTTAGGCCAATCAGAATCAAGTGTTTGATGTAGATAAGAAAGCCAGGCAACAAAGATCATCATTAGGATACGAGAGCGAGGATGAGACCGGTCCAAACGGTCCTGAGAAGCATTGAGAAGTTGGTGCAACAGTTGTGCATTTTCAGACCAACACCTTGTCAAGACCCGTCAAAGACGAAGTCCGGTCTCTGCAGCTTCGTCCTTGTTCCTGTCTTATTCGGATGTCAAACCAGGCTGCAGGCGTCTGTCCCATCACTGAGGTCTAACACTGATGTTGGTGATAAGGTCTGGCTCACAGTCAGTCCCAGAGGTGTCGGATGGGGTCCAGGTCAGGACTCTCGCCAATCCAGTTCCTCCACATTCTCCTCCATGTCTGTTACTTCCCCTCGCCTGTCTCCTCTTTCTTCTCCGGCTGACATTTAAGCGGATGTGCGACTCCATGTGACTCTTTTAACAGTTTTTTTTTTCTCTGCAGCTCCGTGATTGTCTCTGAGTGCTCCTCACCGACAAAGCACGAGTGTGTGTTTGTGTGCGCACGGAGACCATTGACTTTCTCTCCCATTTGTATACACACACACTCACCCAGCGTACAGCAGTGACACTCAGGCTGGTTGAACACAAAAGCCTGCTGGCCGTGACCTATGTGGGCTGAATGCTAACACGGGCTAAGGAATGCACGCCACCGGGGCAAGCTAAACGATCACACGCACATACACACCCGCCTGAGAAGCACTTAAAAACGCAGTCAGAGTTGTTGACTTGTCGCTGCTTTTGGGATAAGACGCCGGGCGGCAGAGGCGGGGGTGGAAGCGAAGCACTCTGCCACCGACAGGCGGGTCAATGAAGGGCACTTATGAAAAGAGCGCTCACTGCTTGGAAGATTTGCCATGAAAGGCCAGGCATTATTTTTTCCCTCCATTCTGCTTGTTTTTTCCTGCAGCTTCTTTTTTCTTTCTCAGAGGGGATTCAACACCGAAAAAAAAAAATCCCTCCGTTTGATTCTGAGTTTTTTTGCAAACAAGCTGCACAAACTGAGTCATTGAAATCCTTCATAAATGGGACATTTGTTCAGACGCCTATAAACAAAAAAACATAACCAAGCTGTTATTCTGTTGTCAGGCTCTCTAGGTGATTCAACAGCATTGATGGTCTAATCCAAACATCTTGACAAGCAAAATGGAGCCTTTGTCGCAGTCGCTTTGATTATTTCTTCAGCCAATGGCTGCACTTGTGTCAATAAACTCTCAATGTGCGTGCGTGTGTGTGTGTGTGTGTGTTTTCTGAGCCGAGCTTTCAGCAGTTGCCACCCTAAACTATTTTGACTAGCAGCGGCCACAAACAGCCACAATACTGCCCACTGGATTCCCAGATAGTCTGGCAGCGTTTAGCCGTGGCCTTTGACCTCTGGGATGCTTTGGGTAGACTGTGGGAACACAGAGAGCGGCTGATTTTAGGGTGTATGCCTCCGTCCGTCTGCCATAAGAAGCTCACAGTAGGAGGGGAGGCAGAAAAAGAGAGCAGGAAGGAGCGAGGAGATAATGTGTGTTGTTGAAGGAAGGAAGAGTTTATGTGTTTTTTTTACAAGGTCGTCTTGGTTACAGCTGAGTTTCCTCTCAAGCCGTCTTCCTCCTGCCAATCAGCATCTTTATAATGACCATGAAGTTGCTGCTATTTACTGCCTCGGCTTAGCTTTTCCCTTTCCTGTTTGCTTCTTTTCTTTCCTCTCTACCTCCTCCTCTCGCTCCTTATTTAACCTTCAGTTTCATTTTTGGGATCAAACCTCCAAGACCACCATGCCATGATTTGTCCACCTGCCAAAAAAACAGAACCATCAAGATAAAGCAGCAAACTCCAGAGTGAGGAAATTAAGCCGATGCAGAGACGCACAAAGAAATGAGTTGGTGTTTGTTTAAGACAAATGCCAGATCTTAATGCCGGTCCCTATCAGCTGACAGCTCAGCTTATTCATCCGTTTGGCAAATATCAAAATGGGCTTTTTATTTGAACAGCTCTATCCTGCCTAGTCTTGCAGTTTCCTCCACTAATCCACCCCAGCTCTGATTTTAGCTGAGTCAAATGTACTGTAACTCATGTCTGATCTGTTCTGTGCATAAGGAGGCTTTGCTGCTGCTCTCCTGGCCACATGTGTGCTCTCTCTGCTGCAGGATCATGCATTTCAGTCATACATATAGAGCAATGTATCGATATGGGAATATCTAGCACTAATGCTCACTTGCTCACCCCTCCCATCAGTCGAACAATGGTGACCCTCAAAGACAAGATGCTCCTGTGATGCATGAGAAATATGAGTCTCCATTCGTCAGATTTACCCCTTTGAAATTGTCCATCAATGCCATTAATTTTGTGCAGAACAACCAATTATCTCCTCTTTCTGTCTTTGAATGAGTTCACTTATGTTGACTTTACCAGTTTGTTGGTCCTGTGCTACTGTACATATACTACCCTTTACTAATTACAATAATCCATTCTGGTTACTGTAATTACACAGCGCATTTCAGTTTGAGGTTTGTCCTGTTAGACTTACTGTAGCTGCGAAGTGAATCGCACAGAGCTGTGTCAAAAGTTCGCCAGTGTTAAATCATCCTGCACGATGTTATTAGGCTGTTTAAGGACATCTGTGTGTAAGTATTATATTGTCACAAGGTGTTTCTTCATGTTAGATGTTGACATGAAGTTTCTTAAGTTGTTTAATGTCTAAAAAGTCGGAGAAAAATAAGACGCTAATAGCGCTAGCATCCCTATGGGTTTTTCAGTGTAAATTAGCATCATGCTAATCGCTAGTGATTTGTGTTTTTAATGCAGTTTTAGCTTAGCCTGCATTAATGATTGACATATATTTAGCCTATATGACTGCTGGATTTACAGTGATTATGTGACTTCTAAGCTTTCTGGTGTTTTTGGAGCAACTGTTAGTGATCTAGATAGTTCAATACATGAGTGAAGGCAGAAGAGTAGATATGAGAATGAGAAAATGGTTTCAGTATCTTAAATTTGTAGTTAGACAACTTTTGTACTTAAAATCATTGTCACTTCTCCTCTCACTTTGTTTTTCATCAGTGGCTCACCGAGGCCCCGTCCCCCGCTGTGACCCCCCACCATCCGTCCAGCGACAGGTGAGGAGTCAAAACGTCATTAGAGAGAGATGAAGATGGACGGCGGCAGGAGTGACGCGGCTAATGTAAGCATTTACGCCGGGATTGTTTACATTCACACGAGGTGTGTGTGTGTTCACACGCTTCAGGTTGATCTCCCGCGGGGTTTCCCACACCAACTTCACCTAAGAAAGCAAATAAAGAGTCTGGGCCTGTTAAAACACAACACAAATAACTACTAACAGAAGAGCTGCTGCTGCTGTCTTCAACAACACACAAACACACAAACAGACGGGAATGCAAGCCAGTCCGTAAAAACACACATGTGATACCTATTCTTCTATACTCCCCACACACACACACAAACACACACAAACACACAAGCAACTAAGCAACCCAAAGGTAGCAAACAGACTAATGTTGACACCCTGAATAGTTTAAATACTGCTATAGGACAGGCTTAAAACACACCTGCTGCAGATTAACATATACCACACACACACACACACACACACAGTAATTTGAATGCCGATACAAACAGTTGAATAAACATCACCTGCGCTGTGTTTCCAGATCAAGACACTCATCCAAACACCTGTACACCCACCTTTATTAGAGCCCTCAACAACAACTATTTCACTTTACCACACACACACACACACACACAAAGACACACACAAACACACTCATAAATAAACACACTCTGCAGCAGCCAGCTGCTTTGCTCAAGGACACTTTAAAAGATAATAAGAGGTCTTTATGATCAAACCTGAGCAGCAGGAGTTTATCCTCAGACTCCAACTCTGCAGCAAACAAACAGAACATATAGATGTGAGTTATAAACACTGATGTTTATGAGGTTATTTGCATTATTGATCATTGATTTCCGGATGTCAAAATGAATCAATAACATGAATTTAGCTCTGATTTTCTCACTGAAAAAGAGAAAAAGCCTATTTGGGTTGGAGGGTGTTTCACTTTGAGGACTCTCATACAGGAGACTCAAGCTCTTAAAACCACATTTTTCTACTTTGATCAAGCCGAGGAGCAACTTCACAAGTAAGGGGCCCCAGTTACTGGACCAGGACTCGTGCATTACCTGCTCCACCTCAGTCCAAGTCTCAAAGCCTGTTGTGTTACTGATATTCAAACACAAAATACCCATGAAGTTTTGCAGCTCTGTGCAGTTTTCTTATGAGCATCTGTATTTTCTGCTGCACAGAGCTGCACTGTGCACTCTCATCCTCAAATCTGTGCGCAAACAGACGATGAGCTGGATCAGTGGTCCCAGAATCTCAGAGGTCCTCTGCTCAATGTCACGGTTTTTACCATGTCTTGAGTATCTTTTAGACTCATCTGCAGAGGTTTAGAGGATGCAACTACTTAAAGCAGGGCAACATGTAGTTTCGGGGCCTCATGTTCGTGTTGATACAGGGTCTATTTTAGGAAACAGTTCTCTATAAAGGGGTAAAAACTCTGAGGGTCTATGACGAAAGTATCACATGATGGAAATACAGCGATGTTAGCTCTCACTGGACCTGCCTGATCAAAACTCTTTGAGTCTTTTGTTTATTTGAACGATGAAAACTGAAATGTTTCTCAATGAGGGATTTGTCGAGGGAAGTTGAAACGTGATTAGCTCCTCAGCGGCCTTTCTTACACATACACCGACTCGCAGATAAAGATGTCGGCGTTATGGTTTACAGCGTGTGAGAACCAACGGCTCTGTTGTTCAGCAGCAGACAGAGGAATGACAGCGGCTGCCATCAGGGACTCTCATCACAGCCGCCTTTTATCTGTCATCAAAATTAGTGTGTTTTGTGTTGTGTATTCCCAAGGTGTTAGCGTGTGTGTGAGTAAAGAGTGCGAACACATTCAGAACCGCTGCTGTGCTTTACCTGTGAAACCTACGCTCATTTCAGCTCCTTAAATTCAGCCAAATAAATTCAGCTCTCTGTTTCTGCTGGTCCAGAATAACCCGCAGATCTGTGGCTGCTGAAAAAGTTAAAGCTCAGAAGTTTGAGCTCTTTTATCCGTCTCTCAGGAGAAAATGCTTTTCCATCCAATTTGCCGCCATCCAATTGTTGAAGCACACTAGCAGAGACTCTCCTTCATGTTTCTGAAGTAGAAAATTAACTGCGAGCTGGTGGCTGCTTCAATTAGTACCTCCGGAAAAAAAAAAGATATCAAATCCTCCTTTTATAAGCTCTTGATAACCACTTCATGTCAACACGGCTGCGCCTGGTTCGGTTAAGTTTGAGAGAAGGTGGACTCCATCAAGTTAAGATTTCCATTTTCAGATCTTCTTTTAATTGTAATCAGAAACTTTATTCCAACTGATACTGAGAAAGGACTTCGATACCAGAGCTCTGTGTAAATGTTAAAACAGTACTTGATCATCTGCAAATCTTTTTAAATTGAATTAAAAAAAAGAAATACTGCAAAGATGACGTAAATGTGCAAAACTTGACGCATTAAACTGCTTTTTAAAACTTACCATCAGTCCATCGCAAACAGGTCTGGGTCCAGACCATAGACTGTATATAGAATGGACGCCGTCTGCCTCCTCCATAGGTGAAGCCACTCCGAGAACAGCACCCTCTGGTGACGGGCTGCAGTATAGGTCATAAACCCCGCCTCCTTATGGAGCTGTGGACAAACTTTAGAAATGAATGACACAGAATATAAATCTCCCCCCTGGTTGTGATGTTGACATGTAGTTACTGTCAGACTGTTTTTGTTCAAGTCCTCTTTTTTCTGTACAGCTCCATTTTTAAAAGTTATTAGGGGGTTCATGTTTTCTATGATTGACACTTGATACAGCCTATGGGTGTATGAAGATTGCGTAGCTCACCAGGGGGATACGCTGTTTGAGCCGAGTGTCGGCGACTCTCCTGCCGGATGTGCACAACGCTACTGCACAAGTGGTGAAGTGGGTATAAAGACAAATCGCAAAAATACCGAGAGCTTTTCGGCTTCAAAGACTGATGGCAGAAGGCGGAACCAAGTCGTCGATTGTATATACAGTCTATGGTCCAGATGAGATGTTGGTGTTTATGGACAGTAATTTAGGTGATTTTGAGCTGATGCAATGACTTCCACTAAAGAGTCATGTCTTTTTTTAACACAACGCTGCCTCCTGGTCATACAGAACTGTCTTCTGTCTCTCTTGTACAAACATTGAACAGGTTTCTCCAAATCTTAATGATATTCTGCACAGTAGATGAGGGAAACATTTGCAAATCTGCGCTATTTTACTCCCCAGAATATTATTGGCTCTCGCAGTCTCTCACAAAGTGGTTCTTTTTCTGTCCTTTTTATGTCCAGTTATATTTACCTTTTGTTTAGCATGACACAACTCTTTTAGTTTCAAAATCTGTTCTTTACATTTTGCGCAGAGTCCTGACTGTTATAAGAAGAAAACAGTAGTTTACACTGAAGGAGACAGAGCAGATCAAAGTGAATCACAGCTGCTGTTTGTTTTTACTGAGCAGGAGCTGATGGAGGAGCAGACAGCTGTTGATCGGTGATTGACCTCCTTTGTCGAAAAGTGGGAGGGGCACAACCACAGGTGGGTGGGAGGGGAGGAAGGAGGAACCCCCTGCAGAGAAGCCGATGATGTTCCCTCCTGCTCTGACAGACACACCGATGATTGAAAAGGATAAAATGAAGTTTTATGCAAAGACCATCACACCTCTGCAGACTGAGTTTCTTCTTCCTCTCTGTCAGCAGTAAAACAGTTAGTGAAGAGTTTATATCCAGTTGCTTCCACATCCTCATAAGTAATTCATCAGAGGAGTATATTTAATCTACCTCTAGCTTATTCTGTTCCATCTCTATCTGATGTAACCAGAAATCATATTTTATTGAAGACTTTCTTTCTGCAGATTTACATCTCTTTGAGTAAACACTTCTCAGATCGTGAACTCTCGCTGGAGTCGAGTTTAGTTTGCAGGACAGCGCCCCCATGCACAGTCAGGGCATGTGGGTCATCGATGTAGAAAAGCGTATTTACATTATGTTTTATTTTTAGGATTTATGAGGTAGAGTTTAAAACATCATGCTTCCTCATTTGCATGGATCTCTGACCTTTCTGCAGCTTTCCTGCCACCCGTGCCCCCGCGAAGAGGAGCGAGCTAACAGCCGAGTTTTTAACCAAACAGGATTTCCTCATGCCGGTACAGCCGGAGGACCGTGTCAAACTTCTTGTCCCGATCTTAAAAGTGCCCCGTGGAGTTTTCTTTCACAGAACTTAAAAGCGTAGTGGTAGTTTTCATGGCCTGTGTGTGCATGTATTATTCAGCTGCATATGTCCCTCTGAGAGAACAGCAACACAAGACCTGCAGACACATCAGAGCTTCAAACCCAAAACATGGGGATACGGCCAGACCTAAGTCAGTGCAAACTATGTCTTTACAGGAGGAGTCAGTGTGGGGTCATCATAGTATATAACTGCATGCTATAAAAGCGGCTTTTCTAGGTTAAATTTTTGCACAAAGTTGTACATTTAAAGGTGCAGTACGTGGCGTTTGGTGGCATTTATCCGGACAGGCATAGTAAGGGGTATAATATTCATAAGTATGTTTAAATTAGTGAATAAACTCCTGTTAACTAAGAATTGGCATTTTGGATCAGGCCCCTTTCCACTCAGGTCACCATGTTGCACCGCCATGTTTCTTAAGTATCACAAAAAGGACAAACTTAGAGGAATCACACACATTTGTACTTAATGTTCTCTGACTGTTTTAACAGTCGCAAACAGTAACGGTTACAGCGGGACATACTGTACAAAAAGCCGTTTCTAGAGGGGCAGTGACTCATGTTGCTCATTTGCTTACTGAGTGACAGCAGTTAAAGATGTCAGAATTACATTAGAGTTGTAATCAGTCATGTTACTGACACTTTTGTTTGCTTGTCTAGCTCATAAAGAGGCAGTGGTAATAATTTCAGTCCTCACTATAGGTTTAGATAAAAAATAATAAAAAAATCCTAAAGGGATATTCCAGTGTACAATTAATTTAGGGTTAAACACACCGTAATACTGAGTTAGACACACCCTCCAGACATGAATGTTGCCGACCGCTTGCTTCTCTAGTAATACACAGCGGTCTGAGGAGCCATAAACAAACCTTAACCAAAACGCCACTCTATAGCCACAAATAATGCTCAGAACAGCACCTAACTTCATCAACAGGACATAGTACTAGACACCAAACATCTTTTTAACTTTGACTCATTTGTTATTTTTTATGTAAACCTACAGTAAGGACTGAAATTATTACCACTGCCTCTTTATGGGTTAGAAAAGCAAACAAAAGTGTCATTAACATGACTGTTTATAACTCTAATGTAATTCTGACATCTTTAACTGCTGTCACTCAGTAAGCAAATGAGCAACATGAGTCACTGCCCCTCTAGAAACGGCTTTTTGAACAGTATGTCCTGCTGTAATCTGTACTGTGTGCGACTGTTAAAACAGTCAGAGAACATTAAGTGCAGGACAAACTTAGTAAAGAGATGTTTTCTTTAGTCCACCAGGGGCGCCAAACCCAACCCAGGCCAAAAGTTCCCCACAGGAGCTTTAAGGTCAATCTTCTTTGAGTTGGAGTTTAACTTCATTTCTTTAACTAAAAGACAGCGGAGTAAAAGAAACCATCTCTCTTTGTAAAACCCTGGCCTTGGGCAGAGATGAGGAGTAGACTGCAGAAGGGTTTTTTTTTTTCAGTCCGTCTGCCTGATTTTAAAGTTTCACACTCACTTTAACACTGATGTTAATGTCTCACAAAACCCACCACCACAAAAACAACAACAGCATGTTTAACTTCAGAGCTCTCCTAGTGCAGCCGTTCATTTTCTCTCTTTTCTATCTCTCTATCTCCTCATCTCTCTCTCTCTCTCTCTCTCTTTCTCTCCTCCACCTCAGAGGAAAAGTAATCTGGGAAGCAGATATCTCTCACACTCCCCTGAATAATGAATGGGGCTTGGGAGTTCTCCCACACAGTAGTTCAAGCCCCTGATCAGTATGCCAAATACGCGAACACACATCCCCGCTGTCGCATTCAAACCTCCTAACTCCCTCCTTTTTGGACCTTCCTTCTTTTAGGTTTAGGTGAGGATTGGCCCCTCTGTCCGAGTGAAGAGGCCGCGGACCTGCGGACACCTGCTGTGTCGTTTTTCAAACATATTCTGACACAGCTTGTGTTTTTCGGGCTTCTCTGGGACTCGATAGAAGATACAAGCTTTTCTCTCGCAGCAAAGATATACTGCAGCCTCCTTCATTACTGACTCCACCATAAGAAGCACTTTGAAGGCTTTCACCAACTGCATTCCTCCCCTCAGCTGACTTTTCTGGGCTCCAGTCTGGTGGAATTATTGATCAGGCTCCTCAGGGGGTTAGTGTGGAGTTGAAGGGTGAGAGGAGGTTGTGGGGGTTTGTTAAGAAGAGGGAGAGTGGGAGCTGGGAAGTAGTCTTATGTTCCCTCTGCAGGAGGAAGCCCACCCAGACCCTCACAGAGGCCCAGACAGCTGTCACATCTGAGCCGGAGTTAAAAAAGAAAGAGACGGTTGGTCCTGAGTTGGAGTTTTAAAACTTTTTCAGGAGGCAGAGCTTCAGAGCTGCTGCAGTCTCTGCGATTATTCGGCTTAATCTGACCTCCTCTGTGTATTCAAAATCCACAAATAAAACTCTTTTCTGAGAATAATCCTGCAGGACAGCAAACACTCGCAGCTCATGTTTGCATCATATTGTTTTCTATTAAAGCCACGGGTGCTGTCTGAACGCACGTCATCAATGATGCAGGACTCTGCAAACAGCCTGAGTTTAGAGCGACCCGTAACACCTGACATATCATCTGTTAACTATTCAGAATAATGTCATTATTATGAGAGCCATATGCAAAAGGCAGATTTCACTCGAGGCTGAAGTTGCAGATTCTGCATATTTGCACATTCATCCAGACCGACTCTGGTTTTCAAATTCAGTCTTTGTGGGATGAAATAGATGCTGAGTTCACCTGCAGCACCTGAGAAATAAGGTGATGTTGATTTTGCAATAGGTCCTGGTTCAGAAGTAGCATTTTAGAGATTATACAGGCCTGTTTAGCCTGCATGGACCCCTCTGACTGGCAATTTCCACCGCATCCGCAAGGGCCGCAAAAAGGGCGTATCTGCCAATTGTAGCTGATTGTAGCCATTCAAGTTAACGTGTCAATTTCTGTCTGCTTCTTTCCGTTTCGCTGCAGGGTTGCACGGGTTCTTGTTAGTTCTCGCAATTCCCGCTGTCTGTAATCAGCCACGAAATTCGCCTTGCAAACCGATCTGGTAGGAATTGGCGTACAGCGAAAATCACCGCCGTTCAGGATGTGGTGGAAATCCTGAGTGAAAGAGTCTGATCTACGTACAGTGTCGACCATTACCGTCTCATTGCTGAGTGCTTAACTCTTTAATTTTCATAGTTTGAGCCCCCGCCGCCGACACCTGAAAGTTTGAACTGGGAAAACAAGATGCATTTCCAGACCTATGGGCAGAGCTGTAACAAAGCCTTTCTTCTGGACGGCTAAAGGGATCAGAGCAGGCTGGACAGTGCTCGATTCAATCGTGTCAAATTGTGCATAACTTTTAAGATTTGTACACACTTCTTGGATTAAATACAGGCCCTAACTTTGTGCTTTGAGTCCGTTTGCCTCCAAAGTCTTCCAAACATCCACCCAGCTTTGGTTGACACCTGATCCAGACTGACTCCTGACCTCGGAGTGTGAGGAGGGTAACAGAAAAGATAATTCCTCTCCTGGGGGTTAATTAAGAATCACATTATTACCATTATTTATCCTGCAGGTCCTCATTATACTCGCCTCGTGTGGACCAATCCCCAGCCAGCCTACGACCGAAGCCTGAGAGTTACAGTAAGAGGAAGGTAGTCGCACAAAACAACAAGATGACACACACAGATACACACACGCTGTCCAAACACACCTGCACACACAGAATTCCCACACACTGAACACACACTCAATCACACGCTAAAGTAGCTCAACCTTTGACTGGCCCAGGCCGTCTCACTTACAGCCCTCTTGTAATACACTAATGTAAAGGAGAACTCCCAGTGTGTATGTGTGTGTGTGTGTGTGTGAATGTGTGTGTCAGGGTAGGGCAGGCCCGGGGCCAGACAGACAGACAGGCCGGGCCGGTATATATTTACCCTGACTGAGGGGAGTGGAAGTGAGGGATTAGTTACAACAACAGGCTGGCGGCTCTGAGACACAACACTGATGGAGCAGAAGGACACAACAGTGAGTTATGTTTGTGTGTCTGTTCTGTATCTTTGATAGAAAGTGTGTTTGTGGATGACTATGAGACAAAACCACTTTAATGGGTCAGAATCAAATCTAGACGCTCCGATATCCAAAAGCAAACATCCATTTTCAGACTTTTTGATTAGTCATAGTGGAAGAAGCACATGTGGAGCTAATAACGTGGATGATGGTTGAACAGGGATGTCTGATCTTATCGGCTCCCTCTGAGTGCAGCGGGTCAAAATGCAAAATGTGAAACCAGATCTATAATGTACCCCCAGAAATAACCCCAAAGTGGTTCACATGTCACACAAACTGGAGCTTTTCTGATCTCGCAGAGGAAATGACCAAACTTTGAGGCTCCACTAGCGTAGAGCGCCCTGAACGGAATGTCAAGAGTGTGGTGCTCGAATCTATTCCACGCCACTGTGGAGTCCGTCCTCCTGTATGGCTGCGAAAGCTGGACCCTGACACCCACCCTGCAGAAGTCCCTGGATGGGTGCTACACCAGAATGCTATGAGCTGTTCTGAACGTGGACCAGAACATCCACATTACCAACAAGGACCTGTACGGGCAACTGCCGAGGCTCAGCAAGAAGGTAGCATCTAGGAGGATGAAAACACCCTCGACTTTCTCTGAGTCTGAAATGATCCTAAACTTTATTCCAAAAAGTGGACATGACTATGCAGGGTTGGAGTCGCAGAGTCAAGCGTAGTAAATTTTGAGAGTTTTTCAGGTCGAGTGTTTTTTATGCGCTTCTAACTCAGTTAGTCAACGTGACACAAACTCTAAACTTCCATACAAAACCCTGGACATTTGAAGGATTTCATAAACTCCCCCTGACAAGTCCGGGTAAAAGAGGACACATGGTCACCCTAATTTAAATTCTAAATCAAAACACGTGGGGTAAGCTATGAAAGACCAGGCATCTTGAGCAGAAGTTTAAGAAGTCAAGGAGAATGAAAAACGTTTGCAGTTTTACTCCTGATTGAAAAGAGAGTGACCTGAGAAGATGGTGTGATGGTAGGAGTGCACTGAGGGACTCTATAGAAAACAGGAAACAATAAGAAAGTCTGAGAGAAAGTCCGAGGAAATAAGAGACAGTCAAGACCAGAAAGCAGAGCCTCTGAAAGCCCCCGGTTTGCTTGTCCTAAACACAAATGGCGTTCCTGAGGGAGGAACCGGAGCGGTCGAATGGACCAATTGGCCCCTTTGACCCCATAAGTGAGAGATGGATAATGTGGGGGCCAAAGGGCCTCTGGGCCCTGCTGGTGTACTGTTCCCTTTACAATATGAAAGCTCAACACACACATGCACATCCTAAAAAACACGTGCACTCCCAGGTGTGTGCACCGGGGCGTAGAGGCACATGTGCACAGACGGGATCGTATGCACAGTCATACAGCAGCACGTAATGTGTGCAGGCAGGTACGCACACCGCCACAGTCCTCACTGTAAATAGGTCCAGACAGTGTTTGTTGGTGTTTCTGATGAGGAAACTGAAGTACAGAGACCCCCGCACCCCCCCTCTTTGTTTTACAGACTGTTCCAGAAAGAAGTTTGGCAGGTTTTCTGTTTCTCCTCGTTAGCGAAGAATGCGTGTGGTGGTGGTGTTAGCGGCGGTGGGGGCGGCCCGGTGAAGAATGCCAGACGACTGAGCTTTTCCGTTTTCACTTTTAGACCTGGAACCGTGAAGTATGTTGATATTAGCAGAGTGTTGTTGGAAGTGTTTGGCCCTGGGCACTTCCAATTTTCATCTGAGCTTTTTGGGACTTGTCAAATTAGAGTGACTCCAAGTTTTCAGGAGCAGGCAGGCGGCCATTTTGCTGCTGGTCAATGCGCTGCGTCATGGTTTCCACTTCCTGGAATTTCGTCTGCTGCCTTGTTCCCCAAATAATCACCTCTGTGTATCTTAAACAAGCAGCCTTGGCACAGGATCCCGCAATGGTTGATTACCATGAAAACAAACAAGTTTTAATGAGCCTCGGTTTATGGCTGCGGACCGCTAATATGTGCTCTAGTTTGTTTTGTAAATGAGAAAAGGACTAAAAGCAAGATAACGACAAATATATTTATTCACAAAGAAAGGCTCAATTTGAGTCAGATGTCTCATAAAAACCATTAACACCTCTTTTTTTCTGGTGATTCACATCCTTAAACTGTTTAAAACTTTCCAGGACTTTGGTCGTTCAAAGCTAACCTGTCCAAGTGTGAAAAGCTGCTTAATAAGAGAGAAATTAAATGAAAATTAAGCACTTTGTCAATTAAAATTCAAAACAAATGTGGGAGATCAAATGTGGGAAAAGTATAAAAATATCATCTGAAACCGACACAAATCTGTGTCAGAGACACTCTTCTTATCCATCATGTTTGAATTTTCTAGAACAAAAAATGTCAAACTTTTATTTTGAAATTCAGATTAATCTGTTTTAATTGCATTTTAAAAAGTTTTATTTCATTTTAAGACACTTTTATTCCTGCAAAATCATTCTTATAAGCATCTTGATTTCAGGATTGAATGACTGTAATGATATGTACTTAATGATTTTGACTTTAACACTTGATTTGCTGCACCAGTGTGGTCTGAAATAACGGCATATCAAGGATTACAGCGTTAGGCATTAAGAAATAAAACATGCAAAGATGATTCAAAGATGATTTTGAGTATTTATGATTTTAGTTTAATTTCATCTGCAGGTTTAAAGTGATTCTCTTACTCCAACATGGATCTCTGCAGGCTTTTGTATGTATTGAAACGGAACCCTGCAGGTATAAGTCCTCCGTGTGAGATGAAACCAGATCTCCTACAGTGAAGGTTGATTTCTTTAAACACCTGTTGCTGCTTGAACCTGTTTCTGTAACGTGTTAATCAGAGCCGTGTGCTTTTGTAAGAGCTCTTAATCATTTCTGCAGATCAACAGATCCTCTTATTATTCTGACAAGCTTATGCAAAAAATATCTCACAGTTTAATTAACCATCAGTCATCATTTACGGTTAAGTTTAGTCATAATTCTTATCAAATCTAACCAGGATTAGATGCAATCAATCGCAATTTCCACTAATTAATTAGATTAATTGGCGAATTTGTGCGTGGGAAACATTAAAGATGAAATCCTGCAGTAAAAATACATATATTTTCATCTAATTAAAGATGCAGTTTGCAAGAATCTTAAGCAGTGAAACATCTCGGAGTGTTACGGAGACTCAAGAGGAATAAATAAGTGAAGCTTCCCTGTGAAGAAGTCACCAGAGGACACTGATTTGCTGCGTTAAAGGACTTTTAAACTGTTTTTTTAGGTCAGGCGCAGAAAAAAAGAAGACATATCTTGAAGATGGTTGTGTCTTTCCCAGAAGTATTCGGTCGTGGTTATATAAGTTGTGTTTGGTCAGGTTGTTTGCCTGCAGATGATCAACAATGTCAGACACATCATGTCAAAACAACCCGTCCACTTTCTTCTGATCCAGATCCTCCTCAGTGGCTACTGAATCAACCGACTGCCTTTTGATGGGGGGAGCGCCGCCGGCACTCGCCGCTGCTCTTGGAATTGTGGGAGCTGCTTCACATGGCATTTTGTGTCATTATATAATGGAACAGCGGTCTGGCAGCAGCAGTGGCAGGGATGTCGATGCTCTGTCTCCATTTTAGTGTAAGTGATGCTGCTGAGTGTGAAGAGGTCAGATCAGCCGAACTGGACAAGCACCGATTCTGTCAGATCAGTCGATAGTTCTGGATTTCTGTGTTTGGATACTGAGAGAGGGTGTGATAGAGAGTAAACAGAAACTGCATGAAAACTCACTGCATCACTCCCATACTGCAGTCTGTTGTATTAAAGCATGAAACCATCAGAATAAAAAAGCGTTTTCTGAGTTTAACCTGTCCTAGTTATTTGTTGTGAACTTGTCAGATAGCTAACAGTTAAATGTGACATGTTGTTTGACAAGTTTTAAGAATCTTTTACAATACGAATCCACATAAAGATTTATTTATAAGTAACTTAACGCTAACGAATAATCACTGATTAGCTTAATGCTAACGTTACATTGGAAATGCCATTGACAGGCTAGCGCGTTAGCATCACTCTGTTTTCCCACATGAATTATGAACTGTTTCTGATATTTTAACAGGTAAGTAACAACCAAAACTCACAGACAAAGGCAATCCAGGGTAAAACTGAGAAAAAGTGAATGAGCAAAAACCAACAACTTCACTTCAAGCTGCCTGTCTTTGGAAAGAAACTACAGCAAGTCTTAAGAGACACACAGCACAGCAGAGTAAACAATCCCCCTTCTACCTTGAAGGGGCAGCACTGAGTACTGGTGCTGCAGCTGGAGTAGGACCTTAACTAGCAGCTTAAAAGCCAACTAAATCCCTTCAACTCACTTTTTAATTTAGGTTTGATTGCAGAGCTGCCAAGTGTCACGCTTTGAGTGTGACAGTCACACAATTTGACCCATTCACACACCACATGCCACACTTAACGCTTATTTTTCCCCATTCAATACTCTGTCTTTATTTTTTTTATGATAATAATCTTGGCTTGACGTAGTTCGAGTAACTCTGATTGACTGACCAAGATAACCAATCCCAGACCAATCCATTAATTCACCAATCCATCAATGAATCTATATACAAAAGTTACTTTTGCCTTATATTCGGACAAGGCAAGCGCTGAAATAACTTTCGCAGATGTAGTCATCTTGTTTCTGCCTCAGATTCTGATTTTTTCTGACTTTGTAACTGAAACACAGAGTTTTTTGGGTCTTGGCGTCTCTAACTATCTTTTTTCACACACAACAGCACCAACATTTAAAACCCCATCGATGTAATACAATATTGACATATAAATGTATTATTTTTAATCCTGGTTAATTAAGACAAGCATTAGGGAGAGCAGCTGGCATGGAGGTGAGGACATCAGTCTTAAGGTATAAATCGACGTTAAAAAGGCAAATTTTTTTCCTATGGTCGGTGGCCGAACACATCATAAAGTATCACTCTTGTCATTTTCTGAACCTTGGCAGCCCTGTTATTGATTTATTCCAAATGAAAGTGTAGAGTACAAGTGTAGAAGTTTCTGGAGACATCTGCTGTGATTATTCTGCTGTGTGCTACGTTTTGGAGGAAATCTGCCGAGGAGCCATCTGGAAGCCCGCTGAAGTCCTGCTGTGGGCTGTGACATGTTTCAGACAAAACAAATTAAGAGAAAAATGTCATTTTATCCGTTCAAAGTGAGGTTAATGTTGCCATAGTGACCGTGGTGAGTGTCTGACACCAGCGTGGTTAGCAGTGGTTATCTGCAGAGCCAACAGGACATTCATCAGTCCGTCAGCGGCCTAATTTTGACTAATCGTCCTCCTCCGAGCAGCCTGTGTGGCTCTTGTTATGTCGTATCGAGGAATGCGGCGGCGTCTGGCGAAAGATTCCCTCAGCGCTGAGATTAGACATATGGGAGCGTGTGTGTGTAAACAAGACTTTAGTGCACACCACATGATCACAAATGGTTTCCTCCTGCTCCGACAGTAATCTCCTCCTGCCAACTCCGACTGCAGAGGGGTGTTACGTGATTATTTGGGACGTCGCACGCTCGCAAACATTATGTTGTTCGACACGTTAATGCAAACACACATACACTCAGGGTTAATGGTGCATATGGTTCTGTGCAGCGAGCGTCTCCCTTTATCCTCTTCGCATCAATCCTCGCCTCAGATCTCAGCATCTTGTCTCCAGGTTCATCCGTTTCTGCAAATCACTTTATCCTGTCTTCACACATTCTCACACCAGATACAAGCCGGTGGTTATAAATAAGTTTTCTTTGTGCTCCAGCAGTCCGGAAGATTCTCAGAAATTCCTTTCCAGCAATCATACCTGGAGCACAGAAGCTACAATAACAGAATGGCATAATTAAAGTGCCTGCGGTAATTTGAGGAGTCTGCCGTGGGTTTAATACTCTGTCAGGTGATGTGCTGACGAGCTGGATTTGTATAGCCATCATTCAAAGCTCTGTTTGTGAACTCACGCTCACGGCTGACTCACACAGTACGAGGATGTGCTTTGAACCTCCTGATCGCAGACTGTTAATTCTAATTGGCAGATGATGGTGACGGGGGGAGAAGCAGTGGCAGGTCCAAATAGCTGTGGCTTATTTTACCTGTCTGTGGTAGAAACTCGGGACGTCAAAGTAAATGAGAAACATGGAAAGTATTTATAACTCATAATAAGATCTCTGGTTTTTATTGTCGAACAGACAACATGAAGTATCTGTTGTCTTTTTATTTTGGACTGAAACGCCTAAAACTTCCTGTAAATTCCAAAGATTTTAACTTTTAAAAACATCTCTGTTGACAAATCTGTCAGGATGTGAAGGGATTAGAGTTTTGGAATAAACCTTAGCAATGTTTAGGGAGTCTAATCCTGCGTTCCAGTTACCCCAGAAGTCGGAGCTGGGAATGACATTACACCTGAGTTGATGTTGTTCCAATAAACAAGTCGGAAAACCAAGATGGACGCCTACTGTTAGCCTTTATTTTGAAAAGAAGCCGGATGTTTTATTTTGTGTCTGTGCCCGACTTCCTTTCCAGCACGGGTTAATCTGTGCTGAATTTATCTGGCATGCTCCGGCGTCCAGATAAAATAGAACTCTTGTGATCAGCTGAAGAGTCCGGCGATCCTCAGAGGAATGGAAAGACACTGGTGGAAATTGACACGTTAACTTGAATGGTTACGATCAGCTATAAACGGCAGATACGACCTTTAGTAGCCGTTCCAGATGCGGTGGAAATTGGGGGTTTGTTGTTGGACAGTACAACATAAACCACTTATTTAATTTCACAAAAACAAAACACAAGTGCTAATTAAAAAAACATTATGAGAGCTTTCACTGTTACTCTTTACTGTTGATGCACTGCGCTGCCATCTTGGACTATGACGTTTTCATCAAGTCAGGGTTGGAGAGGATTGTCCAACTTTCCGAGTCGGAAATTCCGACTTCAGGGGAGCGTTCCAGATGAATTTCTGACTTGGAGCTCGGAAATCCCAACTCAGCTGGAACGCAGCATTAATTGAGCTGATGCCAAATATGTCAAAATGCCATTAATGCCATTTTTTTACCTTGAATTGAGACATTTTATTTCCATCATAGTGAGCTTCTGTTTCCTTTAAAACCACGATTATGATTCAATAAGAATAAGAGAAGCTGTGGTGCTCGCCTGGTTAGCATCGTACCTTTGTATCTCTCTGTGTGTTTTGTTTTGTTTTGTGCAGTGAAAAAGCTTCATGAAAAATATGTGTTTAACTGCATTGGGCCACATGCAGTGAGTAGAAGCTGCACTTGTAATCATGGTGGTGAAAGTAAGCAAAGTAAATGAGCGTTTAAAAAAGAGTCTATGATAAAAGAGTCTGAGGTTCAAGTTTTAAAAAGACCTAAAAACTCTTTAACACCAAACCTCTGTGATTTCAGAAGTCTCTGAAACAGCTGTTTAAAACCCTTTCATTGTGAGGAATGGTGTTTCACAGAAACAGCTGCTGAGGATTGAGACGCAAACCTGTGATGTGGTCCATATGTGAAATATGGAGGCGCTCTAATGAGAAACAAACTCATAAACAGTTTGAACGGCACTTATAACAAACAGCTGCTATTATTAAAAAATGTGAACGCTTTACACACCGACTAAAAAGGGGAAAATATGTTTTTACAAAAGTTCTTACTTCTTAGAAAGTCAGATTAATATATTCTGTTAAAAAGACAACCTCGATCAGGTAAGAACTCGACAAACATCAGCGTCAAAAGTTTAGAAGGTAAGAAGGTGAGAAGTTCTTACTTTTTCAGACTTGGTCGAGAGAGAGTGTTTCTTCACCCTGCTGTCCATCATCTGTCTGCTCCACCTTCTCGCAGTGATTTCAGGCATCAAAACTACAACAGAGAAATTTACAGTCTTATTGTGATGGTCTTGTTTCAGTTTTAGTCTGTTTCTCGGTCAGTTAAAACTCCTTATAGTGTCTTTAAAGCAGGTGGATCTGTGAATAATGGAGGTTGAGACGAGTTTACTCTCTGATACGAGTTTCGTTTCTTTTGTTTGACACACATGACCTTTAATTCTCCTGCCGCTGAGGATAAATGGTCCTAAAAATGATGGTGAGACTACAACTCTTAGAAAATGTGAAAAAGTTTGAAGATAGATTCGTCAAGGAGCGACTTTTCTCCGTTTGAACAGCAAAGACATTCATACGAGGACAGATCAGTGTCTGTCTCCAACAGAAACCTCTCAGACTGTCAGAGAGACCCCGTCCCTCTCCTGTCCCACCACCTTCCTGTCCTCCTGCTTCGGCTCATTGTCTCACCTCATTCATCCCTGACCTCTGAGCGGGGGGTCAAGGTGCGACCCGGGCCACACTTGAATTTGCGGTGTCAAAGGTCAGCCCTTCAGCCGACGCAGAGAGGTGGGTAATGTTTTGTTTGTATCAAAGCGAGCCTCTGAAAAGCATGACGGGTTTAAAGAAGAAAAGCAGCGTGAAGCTCTCTGGAATCTTAAGTGAGTAAATGTCGGTGCGTTAAGAGGGTGGGAGTTTTCTTTCTTTTTTTGTTGGCATGGCTGTTGTTATGGTAACTCAGAGGGAAGTTAGGTTGATTTTCTGGTGTGCCGTGCCTGTAACTAATGACACGCCGCGAGCATTATTCCCCAATATAGACACAGCCAGGAATAATATAATCGCCGGCTTTTCTCCGATGAAATCAGAGCGAAGAGAAAAGTCCTGAGGCCGTTCTGTATCTGTGTATGTTC